GGGGGGGGCCAGCGAGCCGAGCCCAGCCGGGTGCCCAGCCTAAATTTGCACCTCTCTATCCTCCCGGCACACACCTTGCACCCGGCGGGTGCCAAGACCACAGGCACCTTGCGCAACGGCAACAGGCTGCTCAAGGTCCCTTCCCTGCCATTTAAAGGCACCAGCCTCCGGGAGGTTAATTTAAGAGGTAATAAACACAGCAATAAAAATAACCGTACGCTCGGGGCCCTAACCCTGGCCCAGCGTGGGCTGCTGGAGCCCCAGCTGCCTGCGGGCGGGAAGCCTGACCTCCGGGAACGGGACCTGCCGGATCCTGTTCACTCCTGCCAAGGAAGATTTGCACCTTTGGAGCTCTTGCTGCAGGAAAGTCTCACCCAGGCACTAACGCAGCTCCCAGCTCCAGCTGGACTGGAACAGCCCTGCTGTTCTCTGGGAAACGCTGACATTTGAAAAAAATAAAGCAATTCTGCTCTGCGAGGAGGGAGCTGCGTTTTGACATTTCTTTGAAGCGGAGGTTTCATTTGGAAGCGTTCCCTCCTTGAGGTTGTTTGGATGCTTCGCCAGCCCCACTAGTCCTGCAGATGATCATTACTACAGTGGAAAACGGGCTTTAAAAAGTCACAGCGCTACGGGAACCGCACCACCTCAAATCCTCCATCAGAGCGCCGCGAACAACCCAACAAACCCCACTTTGCCTTGAAACATCACAGTTTGGGGCAAAAACACCCTTCATTTTCACTAGGAAGCATGTGCACAGGAGAGGTCCCGCTCGCAGTCCTCATCGGGATGCGTTTAGTCCCGCGAGCTGCCGTGGAGCCTGCGCAGCACCCACCCCAACGCAGCCTCCTCTCCGGCTGCCCCGGCAGGTTTGGGTGCTCTGAATGACGAACCCTCTTTTACTTTCAGAACAGCACCCAAGGTCAGCCAAGGTCGATTATCGCTCATCATCCAACACAAGCCCAGGAAGCGGCTGTGGGGCTCTGCTCAGCTGAATTCAACTGAATTTGCTGCCTGGGGATTCATGGTGAGCTCCTCTTCCTTCCTCCCTTCCCATGGAAAGGTCAGATTCAGCCCCATCTCGAACATCAGGCGAGAGTTTAACAATGTATTTACAGCGGTGTGAGCAGGGCAGCACAGGGAAAGGTCCCATCCTAACCTTGGGTCCATCCCTGGGCTCAGCCGGACAGGAGGGATGACCAGGGACACGTCCTGACAGCCCAGTCCTCTGTGGAGGAACATCAGCCCTTGGCACAGCTCCAGGCAGTCCACGAGGTCCAAACTCCATCTCAGAAGCGTAAGTGACCTTTCCAGCAGGCTCCAGCTCCGGGAAGTGCAAAACCCATCCGAGACACAAACATCCCAGTTTTGGGGTAAAGGTGGATTCCAGCAGTGACTGGAAATGGCACATTTTCCTCTGCAGACCCAACAGCTGGCTGGCCTCTAAATCACTCTCCTAATCGGATGTAAATCCTAAGCAGCCCCCCAAGGATTAAAGGCAGACATTTAGAAATCCTACACGCTCCTGGGATGCACAGAGGGGCCATGTCCTCCCACTCAGGAAAGCCCCAGGTGCCCACAGTGGCACCTAACACCAGTGGCTTCACTGTCACCTGCTGAGACCGTCGCTGGCTGGCTTCAATGGAGGAGCCACAGTGGAGACCCCATTCTGCAGCCCCTGATGCAGCAGATCCTTTTGCCTTGCCTGGGGCTAAATCTGCTGGACCCACCTTGATCCTAAAAACCTGGAAGAACTCTGGCAGCTCCTGAACGCTGCAGAAGACCAGATCCTTGTGGCTACACTCAAAATTTGGAGGTGAATTTTGGTGAGAGATTCACAGACAGAAAGGGGATAGGAAGGATGTGCACCAGGGTCAAGCATGGTCCCCACTCCAGCTAAAGCATCCCAAAAATGAGGCACCCTGGTGAGCTGGACGCGGGTCCCTGTGGGTGCAGGGGACGAGCAGGGCACCCAGAGGAGTGGAGCTAGCAGAAGGCCAGCTCCCACCGACCCAGCCTCTCCTTCCTGTGCAGCGTCACTGGAGAGGCTGGGGGACATTTTCTGCATTGCTGAAGAGTGACAAGTCTCATCGCTTACCTCCCCAGCTGGCAGGAGAGGGGCCGGAGCAGGCATGGAAGCCAGG